CCATCAGCAACCCAGACCTGAAAACAGGTATATAAAAGTTGTCTGTAGAAGTTTAAACAACCAGTTCAGTTCTGTGAGAGACTTGTTGGTCATTAAATAAATGTGTTTAGTTCCTAAGCCTTGTAGTTTCTAGGTTAACAAGGGAAACAGTGAAGGACAAAGAAATCCTTGTTTAGAAGAAATCCACTTTCTTCATTGAATTACTGTGCAAAAGCCCTGCACTTACTTTCTTCTGGACCTTTGAAAGCCCCTCATGGTGCTGGGGAAGTTGGATTGGTTTGTTTGGTTTTTTTAATTCCCAGTTTGCTTGGGTTGTACAGTACAGACTAAAAATAAGAGATTTTCTCCAATATGCATGCATGGTTTGGGCATGGCCAAAGCCAAGTTTATAAAACCTAGAGATAGAATTCTGGACAAAAAGATCCCACAGATCTCACAGGCAGAGACTAGAATACAGAGTGAATTGTAGAAGATTTCTGCAAAGCAAGTGACACCTGCCCTCCCCTTCCCTGTCTCAGGACAGCTGCTTAATGCTGGAGTCACCCCAGCGCTTGGGGCTGCCTTCTGGGCCCTTCTGCAAGAGCTCTGGCAGATGACATTGACTATTCCTGTTCTGCAAACTTGAGCATCGGGTTTCTTTCCTGTGCATTTCCATTGTGATAACTCCCATCCAGATAGGAAACTTCTGTCTCACTAGGGCGTCTTATATCATGGTGTGAATGCAAGAAGGAAAAGAAGAGGCATCCTAAAGAGCCGTGGTCCAGTTACACCTGATGTGTTGCTCACCGTGTAACCTTCAGCCATCTCTTAGTGTCTGGAACAAGATGAAGTATTCATCACAGCCTTCGGCAGTTGGATTTCATCTTCATTTTGATTCTATTTGCAACCTTTCTGCAAAAGGAAATTAACCTACTGTGGTGATTTAGTCTAGTGAGCTCTCTCTTGGCAGCATTTGGATATTTAAAAAAAAATAAAAGAAAGAAAACCCTTTTGCAGTTTTTCCTCCCTGATTTTGATCTATAATTTTTATGCATTAAGTCACTTTTTTCAGTCAGAATAAGACTGCTTTGTTTGCATGAAATATTTAATTGGTTTCTCAAGTATTTTCATCATTAGATATACTGAAGTTATAACTCAGCTCTTTGTGCAAGAGCTGGCCTTTCAGATCATTAATAATTCATAAGCTCCATAGAATTACTATAAACCTTTTAAACCAAATATCTTGAATCTTGGTATATTCAGTGTCATTTCAGCTTCTAGTTTGGGGAGGAAAATAAGATTCCATGGCTAGCCTTGCTGTCTCAAGAGAAATTGAAGAAGAAAATGCTCTTCATTTTTTGGTACTTTTAAAGTTCAAGATGCTTGAAAAACCTAGAGTATGGAAATGCTGCCAATCAGAATTAATAAAAGCTGCCAAGTGAGTGAACTTACAGGCTGATGAGCACCACAGGAGTCAGAGAAAGAAGCTGCCCCTCCGAGTTCGTCGTAGACACCTCCTAAGGATAGCAGGGCATGTCCAGAAGATACATGGGCAGGACGCTAAATAGAATACCAAGCCAAGGGGCAGGCTCCTGCCAGCCTGCTGGGAAATCAGGCCTTTCACGGGGTGCAGACTGACAGCACCCACCTGGTGACCCAGAATGCTCGCAGAAGCCTGGCATTTCTTCCCCCTGGATGTCACATTTATACACCCATGGAGGGAAGTATGCATCTGGGAATAATGAAGACTTGGTAGGCACTTTTCAGCACTTCAGGTCAGTTGGTAGTAGTGCTTCTCTTTATTTTTATTCTTCCTCCTTTTCTGTCTTCAAGTTGTAAGAAAAAGGAGTTTTGTAGGAAAAAATAGGCTTTTTTTTTTTCCTCTGCTCAATTTCACATATTTATTCAGTCCCACTGGGAATCAGTACTCATGGAGTAAAGCAGCTTTTCTCATCTACTTCCTTCTAATCAAGTAGAATCTGTCTTCTTTCAGAATAGTAGGATGTTTTTAAGCACTAGTTCGTCTCAAAGAAATGAGGCTGTTTGCTTTGCAAATTTGTGTTTTATAAAACACAACGTTATTGGCAGATACAATAATTTTTCAGTTTCTCTGGTGTGTTCAAAGCTGCTACATAGAACCATTATGGATTGTGAGGAGCCAGTGGAATGAAAGAAGGCTTTGTTCATTTGTGAATATAATTTCTACATTAACTCAAAATGAATCATTCTCTGCAGTTCAGTGCAGCTGATATCACTGGGAATGTGTCATTGGGGAAACCAATCACTGCATTCCACAATTGTATTTGGGTCTGTTTGTCATTGTGATGTTGTGGCTACATTCTGACTTTTTTTCATCAAGTCATCTTTAACCAAGTCCTCTTGCCTGCTAAGGGAAATAGCATCCCCGAAGGACGGGTTTCAAGGCTCTTTCATTTTCGGGCAGTGCATCTCAGACTCTTAGTGAGCAGGTGATTCCCTTTGTGGATCCTTTTGAAACTCCTGATTCTGAATTCACAGGTCAAGGGCAAAGACCCAAGACTGCTTTTCTCACAATCCTTTAAAGTATAAAGGACTTTACTGCTATTGCTGCTGACTACAGAATGGCAGACCAAATTTAGTAACAAGACTCCAGATAACTTTATATAAAACTCCCAAATTTAATGATTTGAAATTGGAAGGAGGGGCCAGGGATATAGCTCAGTGGAGCAGTGCCTGCCTGACAAGCTCAAGGTCCTGAGTTCGATTCCTGGTACAAAAAAAGAAAGAAAAAGAAAAAGAAATTGGAGGATGAAGGATAGGTTGGCATTTGGTTTTTCTAAGAACAAGTCAAGGACTGAGCCTGTGCCTCTGCATGGTCCTGGTGGTTCCCGCCCTGCAGGGTACACCCTGGGTGCAAGGCTGCATCCCCTGTGAACCCTCTCCTAGTATTTTAGAAGCAAATTAATGGAACAGCCCCTATTCAATTTTCTGCAGGATGAAAGTATTTTACTGTGTTCCAGTCTTAATGTGCCTGGAGCCTAGCATATTCCCTGGCACTGAGCCAATTAATGAGTTGAATTGCATCAAATTGAATTCATTCAACTTCATTAGAACAACATGGAGATGACCTGGTTTTGTCCATTTAAAAACCACTTATTTTCTCTTTAAAGAATTTATACTTCTTTTATGTTCACATTTAAAATTCTGTCGGTAATTTATAACTAATTTCCAAAGCTATGTACTCCTTTTAAGTCGTACTTGCTTAAAATGCAATGTGAAAAAATATAAATACAAATTAAAATCGAGACTCAAGAAATCCAAAGCTATTTAACAAAATGCTATTTATAATAAAAGAACTTTAGTTATTATTTCTTATTCAAAGATTTTATTTTGGGGACTGGAAGGAGAGCATTCCGGGACCATTTTGACAGATTCAAACCTGTACTTTTTTTTTTTTTTTTAATGTTTTTAGTACAGGGTCTACGGGGGTCTCACTTTACAGATAGGACTCCTATTGATCCTCTTGTTTTCAACCTCCTAAGCACTAGGATGACACCATGCCCAGTCTCAGTCATGTCTCAGCATGCCCCAGGGGCAGGGCGGGCACGGCTTGTGGATTGAACCCAGTGGCTGTGCCTGCCTAGGCAGGTGCTTTAGTCCACTGAGCTATCTGGCCTGCCCTTGTACTTCTGTACTTTTGAGAAAGTACAGGTTATTCTTGAGTCTTCAATAAAATATACAAACCCAAAAATTTCAGTTGTGTATTTGCAGCCTAGAAGGATTTGAATTATTGTAACAATCACATTATTGCCCAAATGAAGCTTGAATACTATTTTTTGAGCATTTGCTTTGCTTTTAAATATTAGCTTTTTTCAGATGTAATCCACATACCATACAATTCACCCTTTGAAAGTTTATAGTTAATATTTAGTATAACCACTGAATTGTCTACCATCACTATTTTCAAATTAAGAATATTTTCATTACCCCAGAAGGAAATCCTGCACACCTCCTCCTTCACCCCTCCCCATTCTTCCATTCCTTCCCAGCCCTAGGCAGCCACTAATCTGTTTTGCTGCTGTTGCTACAGAGTTGCCTGCTCTGTATATTCCATATAAATGAACTCACATGTGACCATGTGTAATGGGCTTCTTTCACACAGCATAACATTCTCGAAGTCCTTGTTTCTGTGACTGAATACATTCCTATTGCATGGTTATACCACATTTTTATTTACCTGTTTGTTCACTAGTAAACATTTAGATTGTTTTACCTTTTGAGCTATTGTAAGTGAAGCTGCTGTAAACATTGATGTGCAAGTTCTTGTATAGTAAATATTTTCATTTCTCTCAGGTATATGCCTAGAAGTCGGTTTCATGAGTCACATGACAACAGTATGTTTAACCTTTTAGGGAACTACCAGGCTTTTCCAAAGAGACTGTAACCATTTTATACCCCTCATCAACCATATGAGGGTTCCAGTTTCTCCATATTTTCTCCAACACTTGTTACTACCTGTATTTTTGACTTTAAAAATCCTAACACGTATAAAGAGATATCTCATTGTGAATTTGATTTGCTTTTCCATGGTGACTACAAATGCTGAGCATGTTTTCATGTGCTTGTTGTTCACTTATTTCTTCTTTGGATGAATGTCTATTCAGAGCCATCACCATCTGGTTAATTGGGCCATTTGTCTTCGTATTATTGACTTAATAAGAGTTCCTCAAGTGCTCTGGATCCAAGTTCCTTATCAGATAGATGATTTGAAAAAAAACAGTTTCTCACTCTGTAGGTTGTCTTCAGCTTCTTCATAGCGTCTTTTAAAGCACAAAAGTTAACAGTTTCAATTAAATCAAATTTATTTGGGGTTTTTACCTCTTTGGTTCCCCATGCTTTGGATGGCACAGCTGAGGAGTCGGCATCTAATCCAGAATCATAAGGTGTATTTGTTTTCTCCTACGAGCTTTATAAGGTCTCACAGTTAAGTCTTTGATCAGTTTTCAGCTAACTTTTTATATTGTGCTCTTGTGTTTTTTAAGTGCTGTGATCTTGGCTACCATGCAAGCCTGAACAGGGCCCTGAGAACATATCTCTCTGCGGAGTATAACCTCGAAACCTCCCGACATGAAGGCTTAGACATTATCGAGAATGCAGTTGACAATTTAGAACCGAGGAGTGACAAGCAGAGATTCATGGAGATGTACCCTGCAGCGTTCTGTCCACCAATGAAGTTTGAATTTCAGTCTCACATGGGTGATGAGGTCAGTAACTGATGACTTTTCAATTAATGAATTTTGTCCCCTCACTGGTTGTAGCTCAACAGTTTTAAGAATTCCCACTTGTTTTCTGTCTTCTGCTCTTGTGCAGGATCTCAGCACAATGCTGTGCTAGAATCAGCAACTACTACATTTTGAAACACTGATCAGACACACTCAAATGGCAAACAGATAAAGGTGTTAATTTGGCTAAGCCATTCCAGAATAATTAGCAAGAGCTTCTCCCTCAAAACATTCAAATTTGAATTTAAAAAAAAAAAAAAAAACTGGGGGCCGGCAGGATAGCTCAGTGGACTAAGTGCCTGCATAGGCAAGCGCAGGCACCAGGGTTCAATCCCTGGTACCACATGCTGTGCCAGCCCCCCCCTGGCGGGCTGAGCCAGCCAGAGTCCGGGTGTGGTAGGCACACCTGTAATCCCAGCACCAGAGAGGCTGAAAACAGGATCACTATAAGTCTGAGCTGCGTAGTGATACCCTGTACCAAATACATAAAAAATAAATAAATAAATTCTTGACCCAATTGAATCTTTCTGAAGACTTTTTATAACCCATATTTGAAGATCTCTGTACTGAAAATATTGTAAATGGCAAGATAATAGGGGAGAAAGTGCAAAAAATACATTTTAAGACTCAGATTGGCTCTAAACTGGCAAAATAAGGATCATAAGTTATGTATAGCATGTAATATTCTTTATATTAATTAGCTTTCTATCCTATTTTATAAAAACAAATAACATTTGAGATAATTATAAATTATAGTCGTTTATTGCCTATGGGCAGGGCAAAATATGGAAGACCACATAATGGAGCATTTATGTAGCACTTGATGTCCCAGTTATATACAATAAAACTCCAAGATATTTAAAAATAAAAAACAACTCAGTGCTAGTTTATTGGGATGATAATCTACTATTAAAAGTAGATGAAATTATAATATTCATGCAGGAGTAATGTTATGTTTTTTATGAAGCACAAAGTATTAAGACATGTAATATATGTATGTGAGCTATATTTCTATTTATTTTTGTTTGATAAATTGCTAGAAACAGAGAGTGCAAATCATATATCCCAAACCCAAAAACAAGTGCTCCAAAATCTGAAAATTTTGTATTTAGGATCTTTATAATAGACACTTAACTGATAAATGCTATGCAGATATTCCCAAATCCAAAGAACTTCAAAGGCTTATGTACTTCTGGTTCCAAGCCCTTCAGCTAAAGAAGAAGTAATCTGTATTTTTGTGTTAGTAATGCATGAATTTCAACAAACAAAATGAGTAACTTATTTCATCCAGTGTTACCCCTCTAAAACCAAATGGTTGCTGTTTTAATTTTTCATGTGGATATGTCAGTCATAGAATAAAAAATATCACAGGCAAATGACTCTAGTTATGTGTTCATGGTTATTATGATTATAATATCATTATTATTATTACCATTTTAATGAAGCATGTCTGTTGTCCATATGGCCAGTTTTGCCCGGGAATGGGAATCTCTAGGATGCTTTGCAACCATTCTGACAGGAGCCAAGATCATTTCTATGTCAAGGAAAATGAGATGAAATTGTTCCTGGAAAATGCTGTAATCTTATCCCTAGTTGACATCATGGCCAGAATATCTTCTACCAAAGCCTAAATTCAATTGCCCATTTTTGTTTTTTATTAGTCCATGCTTGTGATACATAATGATCACATCCTCCTGGGGACCTGCGTCCTTCTTTAAATTGATGATGAGTCATATCACTTGGCTGATACTGGCCAGTAAAACCATGGTTGAAAATTGCTAAATGTAGTCGTCATCCAGTTTGCTGAGTTTTTACTGTGTTCCAGACATGCTCTGGGTACTTGGCGTATATCGTTTCTTTTCATCCTCAAAACAACCTGATACAGTAGGGAATCTTAACCCCAATGTACAGATAAGGAAACTGAGGTTTTGTAGCTTGTCATGGTCACCTGGCTAGTAGAGGCAGAGCTGAAATTAAGGCCCAGCTGGCTGGCTCTGGAGCCCACACCCTAACCTGCAAGCCCTGCTGCCTGTCTCCCTCTACCTGCACAGACCTCATGGGTCATCCTCTGCCCTCTGCCCTCTGCCCTCTGCCCTCTGCCCTCTGCCCTCTGCCCTCTGCCCTCTGCCCAGAGGTTAGCATGCCGCCCAGGAGACTTCAGCATCGCTGCTCCTTCTCAGCAACTGCCTGTTCGCAGAGCCTTGCTTCCTGAGCTGCCGTCTTCCAGTAGTCAGGCCAAGCAGCTGCATTCTGTGCTGTAGTCCACATCGCCACTGAAAACTGAAGCTCTGTGGCCGCTGCTGCAAACCAAGATGTATTGGAATCTCAGGACCAGCATGACTTGTGCTGCCGAGACAGAGGAGACCTGTGGCTGAGGGGCTGGCTGGCTGGCCCGGCCCGGTCGTAACCAGCGTTTTTCTGATTCTCTGACAGGTGTGTCAGGTCAGCGCCCAGCAGCCCGTCCAGGCGGAGCTCATGCTCAGGTACCAACAGCTGCAGTCCCGGTTGGCCACACTCAAGATCGAGAACGAGGAGGTAAGCATCCCTTCTGCCCCACCAGGAACTATGCCTGACACAGCCTCCCATTAGGCACAGTTACGGTTCTTTTTTTTTTTTTTCTTTTTTGTGGAACCGGGGATTGAACTCAGGCCCTTGCGCTTGCCAGGCAAATGCTTATTCTACTGAGCCATCTCCCTGGCCCCTCCTTTTTTTTTTTTTTTTTTTTTTTTATTTTCTTTTACTTACATATATTTCTGTATTTATTTATTTAGACAGGGCCTCATTATGCAATTTGGGCTAGCCTTGTGCTCAGTTTTGTAGTCCCCAGTTTGGTCTTGGACTCGTAGTGATCCTCCTGTCTCAGCCTCTCCAGCACTGGGATTACAGGCATGTGCCACCACACCTGGTTCCAGGGTCAGCTCAGCATGCCCTGGGCTCCAGGGCCAGCATGGCATGTGGGGCTGGGGATGGAACTCAAGTCTTTGCACTGCCAGGCCTGCACCTGTACCTCTGAGCTATCTCCTAAGCCCCTCCATCATCCACTTTCAGCTATCAGGGTTCCTACAGCATGTTCTGTGTAGGAGATAAAGGCAAAACCTCTACATTCTTCTAGTGAGTGATGCTTTAAAGGAGATTTAACAGCAATTAACCACTAAGAAGAATGTATGCACTGTGTTGGTTATTGAAACTGTGCTACCGATTTGATTTGAAAAAAAAAAAGAAGCCAAGATGTACAATTGAAAAAAAGATGAAACAAATTAAAGCATTAACTGCTTCTTTCCATAAAAAAAATAAATAAGAGATTTAATTAATGTTTTGTTATTTATTTTGTTATTACATCTTCTTAATTTGTATTTCGTACTAAAATAATTCATAGATTATTTGACTGAACAAATACATCCCCAAAAACATATAGTCAGGTATAGATATGCAACTTCTGGCTGACAATTTAATTTAGTCCTAACTTTTAGGATTAGATGTTAGAGGAGATTAACATTTGCTTGGGGTTTTCTGCTCTTTGTGCTTTTCTATATTCTCTAAATTTTGGGTGTTGGACATGCCATTATTCATAAAATTAGTTCAGAAAATCTATTTTCAATGAGAAAGATTTGTACTAATAGTGTTTGTTTGGTTGGGGTTTTTGGTGGAACTGGGGATTGAACTCAGGCCCTTGCGCTTGCCAGGGAAGCAGAAAGTCTATTTTCAAATAGTACTTGAGGATAGAAAAATATTTACTGACACTCATATTTAAAAGTATAGAATATAAAATGTGAATTATAAATGTTGCTGTGCCAGGAAATAATTTTACAATTCAAAAGCCTATTTCTGAAATAAACTTAATTGTATCCACATTCTCCTGAAGTAAAAATAGGAACCACAGTGTTTCTTGTATTTGTGAAGGTTTACAGTTGTAATTTATAAAAACCAATCCAATTTAAGTTTAAGAGTTAATTTATTATGTCAGTCATGGTGGTATATACCTGTAATCCCAGCATTCGGGTGGATGAGGTGGGAGGATTGCTGCAAGTTTGAGGCTAGCCTGGGCTACATAGTGAGTTCAAGACCAGCCTGAACTACGTAGCAAGACCTTGTCTCTGAAGTAAATGATAGTGGTGTACGCCTATAATCCCAGCTCTAGAGAGGCTGAAACAGGAGGATCACTATGAGTCTGAGTTGCATATCGAGCCCCTATACCAAATAAACAAATTTAAAAATGTATTTTTAAAGTAAGAGAGAGAGACAGAGACAGAGAGAGAAAAAGCATTAACTTACTGGTCAATATTTAGAGTAGCATCATATGTCATTGGGTCTGGAGTAGGTGACACTGTTAGGAATATCTTCACACACACACACACACACACACACACACACACACACACACATTCTCTTTCCCTTCCTTCTTCCTCTCATCTCTTTGAAGTGATTTCCTCATGTGTGTTGGTAGGGTGTCAGACATAGATGCATGCCCACGTAGTTCCTTGTAGTTTGCCATCTCTGCTCATCCCAGACAATGCTTAGCTTTGAAGGATTAAGATCTGAAGAAATAAGATCATTTCTTCATTGGCTGGGCTTCACGCGTGTATTCTTCTAGGTCAACCATTCTATCGGGGAAATGGGATTCCCTCATTTGCCAGCCTAGATGTTACACCACTCATCAAGTCCTGTGATTGACAATCCCAGTAGAGATGAGGTATTTCTAGAGACAGGAATTTCCTAAATGAAGAAATATGGAACAGAAATCAGAGCATAAACTCATACTGACAAAGTAAATTATAAAAAATTCACTTAGTGCTGTGTTTCATTTTAATTTCACTTGGATGTTTTTAGAGTGATGTTTCTAGGACATTATAATTTAATCAAAACTCTTTCTAGCTTCCATTCTTACTGGAGAAACTAAATCAGGATACAACTGATGTGATCATTTCTTTCTAACAGCATCCCACAAGTGAATCTTTCTGGAATGCAAGGTATTGCTCTCCTTAAGTAGTGTTTTAGGGTGTAGGGCTTGGCTAGGTACCACAAAATACTCACCTGATACAATTTATTGACTCTTAATAGATCTTCAGTTTGTGTGTCTGGTGACTTCCAATGTTTTTGCTGCTGTTTTATTTGGAAGATATTCTCTAGGAAAATAGAGTGCTATGCGCAAGGTCAAAACTGGCAGTGTACAGGCCTGTTTTGCTTGGCTTCCAAAGTTTTGGCTTCCAAAAAATAAATAAATCTAACAACTCTGGCTCTGTGTTGCCTCCTGAAGTGAAGAGCGGGAGCAGCTGAATTCTACTCTGCTGTATTCAGTTAACTCCTCGTTTTCTTACATCAAACTACTTACGTTGTTACCTGTCTGGCTTCTACCGGCCTTTGAGTTTGTGACTCTTAGTATGTGCCACCTTAGGCCTACTGTGACAGTGTACAGTGTCCTTACAAACTGATAGAGATGGGCAATGCTTTCTGAGGTTTAATGTTCAAAATAATTAGCTGTAGAGGTAAGTGATTGTCCTGTCATCTCTCGCAAGCATGACTAACAGGTTTTGATTTGTTAGATACAGGAAAAAAAATCATTATGATTAAATGGGGTTCCAAAGGAAGAAAGATGTCAGTTAGGTTTTTGACAGTCAGCAGATTTCATAGGAACTGGAAAGAAAAGATGTTTCAGTGTTTATCAGATTCTGATAATACAGAGCAGTGTGGTCATCACCTCGGCTCCATGGGCACAAGCTACCAATGCAAGTAAAATCATGCCAAGAGGTGTCGAGAACCAAGTTAAGGAGCTTTGTCACGTGGCTCAGAGCATTTCAGCGCATAAATATTTTCTGAGAATCTTCAACACCCCAGGTATTTTGCCAAGTATGGATAATGCAGAGATGAAGAGCCTCTGACTAGCATGGACAGATTATAACAAGTAATTTGCCTGAGATCAGCATCGCTATCATTGCTGATCTGGAGTCCCGGGTGGCTCTTTTCTCTACCCTACATAAAGGCTTTGCCTCTGTGTTCCTCGATAAGAGCAAGGGCAGAAAACTGACACACTGTATCAAGCCAAAAGATACTAATGTGGAAATACATGCAAAATCCTCTGCCTCTGTACAATGCTTAAGTCCAAAATCCAGTGGAAAGACTTCAGTGAACTAAAAATATTTATGATGGCCCAGTACAAAGGTCAGTCTTGAGGAGTAATTTCATCCGAGTTTACAAAAGCAGGGCCAGTGCAGTTAAGTAAAGCACAAGTCTTTTTACCAAATCTTACACTACTGTAAATTGTGAGCGCCACCTGAAACAGTGGCACGTTTCGTCAGAGCAGAATTTCTATACTACGAGCCTGCAGACCATTTTTGGCCCATAGGAATGTTTTCTTTCCACTGTGGTGCTTCATTTTGAAATGTTAGGGGCCAGGGAAATGGCTCAGTAGAGCGCAAGGGCCTGAGTTCAATCCCCAGTTCCACCAAAAAAAAAAAAAAGAAAAGTTAGGCGCTCTCATTTAACGATTGGAAGTGGTATATAAAAATGTCAATAGCCTGCTCCCCTACAAATGTTAAAAGATCTGGTTGTAATTACACCAGAGGCGTCACTGCAAGGTGAGAGCAGGGCATAGCTGAGCGGGAGATGCTTCCCTAGCTCAGAGCGTGTGCTTCCTCTTTGCTGTGCTCTTTGCTCAGCCTGCTTGCCTCATTTTTTATTACTTGATTGCCCTTAAAAGGTATTTGAGTTTGCAGCACTTGCTTTAAAACAAAGAGATCAGAGAATGTGTGTGAGATGGCTACAAGTAAGGTTTGTACAGGGCTTGATTAAATTTGGGGTCGATGGAGATTCAGACAGTTAATGTCTCGATGCAACTTCACATTTACCTGTTGAGCCTTTTTAAAATCTTTTCCTTTTTTAAATGTATTTGGCACAGGGTCTCACTATGCAGCTTGGACTCATAGGGATCCTCCTGTTTTTAGCCTCCCCAGCACTGGGATTACAAGAATGCACCACCATGCCCAGAGGTTTCCATTTCTTTCTTTCTTTCTTTTTTTTTTTAATTTTTTTTTTTATTTTAACATTTAGTGTGTGTGGGTGTGGGTGTGGGTGTGTGTGGGTGTGTGTGTGTGTGTGTGGCCAGCTCAGCTCACCAGGGGGCGCGGCTGGCTGGCATGTGGTGCTGGAGGATTGAACCGCGGTCCCTGTGCTTTGCCAAGCTTGTTCCAGGTAGGTGCTTTAGACCACTGAGCCATATCTCCAGCCCCCTCTTTTTTTTTTTTAATAAAATAAATAAATTTATTTTATAGGTGGTCCAGTAAAAGAATGAATTTGTGGAGAAAACACAGAGCTCTAAACATCGTCTAGCAAATGACATAAACAGTGGATTTCCAAAATCTTAAAACTTAACTTAAATCCAAAAATCTAGCTGGTACAGATTATCAATCTACATACTCATTATACTAATTTTAGAACTTAATTTATTCTTTATCTTTCACAACAGAATTCCAAACACACAAAATTAATGCAGGAGCCTAAGCGCCTGACCAGTTACCACTTCTTTGAATTCCAAGGACAGT